TACATCCCACATGACAATCAAGATTTTCACTTCACCCATCACATGAATCACTATATTTCAACCAATTATTAGAACTTGACAAGCATGAAATTACTAGATTCGGGGCTACATCCTACATGACAATCAAGATTTTTCACTTCACCCATCACATAAATCACTATATTTCAACATAATACCACAATTCATAGCATGCAACATCTCAAAGAACAATCGACGAAGCACAATATTATTCTCTAGCCACATTGGTCAATGAATCTAATCATAATTATAACAATCATAACCAACATCATTCCACGATCACTCCAATTAAATAATTCCATGAATCAAAGAAACATTTAACTACGTAAATCAATTAATAAGATCACATACCAATTCACAAAATTTAATAAAGGAATTCTACATAATTCCCTACCTGGATTCCAAGTAATAATATGATAAATCTAATTTATAAACACAACATCTACTGTGAGCAATTCCTATTCACTCGAATCTAGGGCCGGCCTAACCTTATAGAAATGAGCAAGAGTAGGGATTTCGGAACACTCAATGGAATCCAACTAAAATATGGTCGCCTATTGGAATGTACCAATTACAACTAATCCTCCTCACGCCTAGAATGCATATGGTCCTCCATTGCGGATATATCAAGCAGAACCATAGGCATAATCTAACATGCAGGCATGATCACCCATCATGGATATACCAAGCGTCATCACCCTTGAAATATGTATGGTCCCCAAGGTTCTAAAAGATGCTAGGCGCTAGTTGGGCGGCGGATTGGGGCCTAGCACCTAGGCGGATAGACGGGTGCCTAGACAGATTTAAGTGAATGTATTATATTTTGTGTAAATAAGTGTGTGTCTATACTTAAAATATATATAATTTTATCATAAACTACAAAATAGAATGACATATACATTATGAAGTATTGGAACATAATGAAAACATGGGGAACAAGCATATAATGGATGTTCATTTAAGTATTCAACAAATCTCCTACAATTTATTGAAGAAAAAAAAAGCAAAATGAAAATTTTCTATTTTGTTTAAGTGAGTTGCAATCGATGTTGTTGCCTAGGCAGGTTTGGACGGGCTAGGTGGGTGCCTAGATGGTCTAGGTGGGCAGCTTTGCAGGTCAAGGCACCATTTTTTAATTTTCAAACGCCTAGGCATTAATCAGGGCAATGGCTAACCGCCTATCGCCTAGACGAGGATTTTTAGAACAGTGATAGTTCCCCATTGCGGATATACCAAGCAGGACCACATCTTAACTCTAGGTAGTAATCAGCTATCGCGGATATACCAAGCATGATTACTCCTAGAATGCGTATAGTCCCTCATTGCGAATAAACCAAGCAGAACTATAGAAATAATCTAACGTGTGGTCCCCTATCGCGGATATACCAAGCAGGACCACGTCCTAACTCTAGGTAGTGATCACCTATCATGAATATACCAAGCATGATCACTCCTAAAATACGTATGGTCCCCAATTGCAGATAAACCAAGCAGAGCCATAGGCATAGTCTAACGTGTGGTCCCCTAACACGGATATACCAAGCATGACCATGTCTTCACTCTAGGTAGTGATCACCCATTGCAGATATACCAAGCAGGACCATCCATGTACCATTGCTACATGGTGCAATCAGTTCAACACACAACCTACTTACCGCTATCTCAACCCTTGGAAGCGAAGATGCTGCCAGCCGTGTCTTGCTTCAGGCAAGTAAATGTCTTTTTGATAATCGAAACGGTCAGCCAGAGCAAGCTAGAGGGTGCGTGGGTCCTCCTCAGTGAGGTACTTGGTATGCTGTGCATCATGGATGTGCCTTCGAATGAAGATCATTGCAGTATCTTTCTGAGCTTCATCGACGGTTTAGTCTGGGAAGCCCAGCTGAAGCTGGGTCCGAGTCAGGGTGAGCTAAGCCTAGTAGACAAGTCTGCGGGAAGCGGGCCGGGGCGGGTGGCATAATCTAGTGGGTTACGGGCTGCTGCAGGTAGTCCAAATCATGGGACAAAAAGTCAGCCCAGCAGCGCTGGGCTGCTGGAATTGGGCCAGGGGCTCCCGGGACATCGAGTCAAGAAGGATGCAGGCTTTCTTGGTTAGGCTAAGGGACTTCAGGCCTATTAGGTTTATCAGGTCGAAGGCTTGGGGTAACAGGGTTAGTGCAGTAAGCCCAAAGGCTGCTACCGTGTGGTCCAAGGGTGTAAAAAACGACACCGTGTCATGATATGCTCCACGCGACTGGGCTTCAGGCCAGTGGTGGTGTGGTGGTTGTGCTGCACAGTTCCCAATACAATTTTTTTTTTCTTCCGAATTTGCCAGGGTTTGAAAAACCCTAAATTGCTTTTAATTTATTTATATGCTTTGATTCACAAATTCCACACATAAAAAATAATTGCGTAATGCATGAAACATGTATATATATATATATATATATATCAGAAGGAAAATATAAACATAGGGGTTTCATGCATCATGGGGAATGTTTGCATGCTTTGTGGATGTTTCAAATATCTTACTTTATTTTAAGCGTACCTGATTAGCAGAAAACAAATAAAAGCCTTTGAATTTTGTAGAAGAGAGCCTTCTCTATGATCTTTCAGTTCCTTAGCTTTTGACAAGAGTGTGCTAATAACGTGTGTTGTAGGCCTATTTGATTGAACTATTCTAGAGGAATAGAGAGGGGAGGCCGGCAGCAATAATAGAGAGATGAGAGATTTAATTGTGAGGTGTGTATTGTATCACCCCATTGTGCGTTTATTTATAGGATAGGTAGAATCCTTACTCTTTTAGGATTACAACTCTTAATAGGTAATTAACTACTAAAGGGAATATAAAAGATATCCCTAGATCTATTAGGATTTACACAATCACATTCTTATTCTAAATATGACTGCAACACTTTTATTATTTTTTTAATAAAAAAGATTTTAATACTAGCTTGGGCTATTCAGTTTAAGGATGGATGCACTTGGACATTTATTGTTTACTGAAGGCAATAATTGCCTAGTGGTAGTAATTGCTTGGGCAATCTAGTAGGGGTGGAGTTGCTGAGACTAAATATATTTGCTCTATTTATGTGAGCTATGAAATCTAATGCTGGCTACTAGCACATTTTGGTGATTGTGGAATTTGTATAATGTTGGTGATTGTTTGTTGCGTCATGGGACTGTTGAGCAAAAATTGTACACAATATGTAAACCAATAATTCACTCGACACAATTTCACCCTTGTCCATTTTTGAAGAGGGTTTTATTAAATTGAGTTCGACACATTCTAGGCTACGCGCCTATTAATTACAACCCTTCTTTTAGGAAAGGAATACCCTTTGATTCTAATATGAATAAATCATAACTGGGGGATTTTGGAGTTTATTTGATTTTGTGACTGCATCTAGGTAGAGCCCTAAATTGCCTACGTACCCTTGTTGAGGGATCAAGTCACTCGTAGTTCCTTATGTATTTGTTGGGGTTTAATGCCTTATGCAATTTTAGCTCATGCGGGCGAGGACTTTAAGCCATTGGAGCTATTGGTGCCTTGTGCAGTTTTAGCTCATGCGGGCGAGGACTTTGAGCCATTGGAGCTTTTAATACCTTGTGCAGTTTTAGCTCATTCGGGCGAGGACTTTAAGCCATTGGAGCATTTAATGCCTTGTGCAGTTTTAGCTCATGCAGACGAGGACTTTAAGCCGTTCGAATGTTTAATGCCTTGTGCAGTTTTAGCTCATGTGGGCGAGGACTTTAAGCCCTTGGAGCATTTGATGCCTTATGCAGTTTTAGCTCATGCGGACGAGGACTTTAAGCCATTTGAAATTTTCCTTTGGCTTTGTGCCATTTGAGACTTGTCGCGGCTTTGTGCCATTTAAGCGGCTCTATTTTTATTCACGGAGTCCAAAAATATAAAGCTCAGGTGAATACAAAAATATTGTTTTACTTCAATCTCATATGGAGCAACATTCCCTAAAAAACTAGGAACTTTGTTGCATGAGTAGCATCCATTAATTGAAAATCTAGGAACTTGTGCTTGAAGGCTTCTCTTTTACTCTTTGTAGAACCTGTAATTACTTGATCCAAGTAGTAAGAGTGAATTTAGTTTATATAAACTAGGGATTCATTTTGGTTTCACGGTTACGTCTAAAACTTAATATCAGACTGCCTGTGTATCCTTAACGGAATCAAATCAGCGTAGTTCGTAATGTATTTGATTTGGATTTGCCTACTTGTGTTTAGACTTGGCAAAATGAGTAGTCAATTGGATTTATTTAAAACCCATATATGACCCTTGGTAATATCTAATAAGCCTTTGTGAAATAAGGCCCTGTTTGGTAGATCGGATAAAGGATCGGATAGGATTAGTTATACGGACCCGGGTGTTTGGCGTTCACTCGTACTAAATAAGCACCGGATTAATTTAACCGGTCGGATAGGATAATACGGTATACACCCGCTTAATAAAACCAACCAAAACGTCCGGATTATTTAGTCGGGGAAGAAGAATATGGGAGAGAAAGGGAGGGAGTTTGGGGGGTGTGGCGGAGAGAGCTGGGGAACAATTATTTGGGATTCTTCTATCGTCGGGGAAGAAGAAGGGAGAGAGAGGGAGGGTGTTTGGGGGGTGCGGAGAGACTTGGGAACAAAAAAATGATTTCATTTTTTTAAAATTTTTTTTTTTAAAGTTTGATGCATTCTATCTAGTATAATATCAAACACAGTATAAATAATACGGTCACTAGTCCGATACTGCACCAAACACCCGACTAATTTAGTCAGTACTATCCGGTGGCTATTTATCCTATCCGACAAAAATAGTCAGTACAGTCCGAGCTGCCAAACGAGGCCTAAGAGTTTTATTTTGTCTTTTCCTTAAGTAGCTTAGGATTTGAAGACATAAAGCGGGACTCCCAGCCCCACGTGAGATGCACCATTCAACTTTTCCTTAAGTGGGTGAGACTTGAAGACAAAGTGGGACTCCAAATTTCTGACAGCAACTTTACTTTCTCTCTCTATTTTTTATGTGACTTTTAAAGCTTCCAAGTTCCAATAGGACTTGAAAGTTCAACAACCTGGCTTCCAATTTCCATAACCTCACTTCTTCTCCACGTGAGATGTGAGGTGCAGACTTTATTCAAACCCACCCCCCCTCTTCTTGCGAGATGGCCTTCAGCAGAAATTCCCATTTTTTTCTTGGCTCCAATACACATGGTCTTCCTCCAGAAGCAAGAATCAATTCCGATATACTTGGGCTTCCGTGGATTCCGTATATTTCGAACCTCCATTTGGATTGGGTAACCGTTGATTTCCAAGTGAGAATGGGTAAGGTTTGTTGGAGCTCAGATCCTTTTCAAATTTCTTTTATTTACCATTATTTCCCCCCTTAAATCGCAAAGGCTTCTTCTTGTGCAGGTCATAAACTCTTTCATTTTTTCGCTGCATCGTTCTTTCGCTCTTCACCACCTTGCTTGTGCTCCTTTTGTGGCTCGAATTCAAAGCGAAGGAGGAAGAAGATAACCAGCAGGTAACCCTGTTTTCATTTTTCTATGTTCTGAATTTGATTCGGAGTGGGTTGAAGCTCTGAACCGTAACTGATTGGTTTAATTATTTTCTTGCAGAAGTTTCTGTCATCAGTATTTCTTTGATTGGTTGTTGGACAAACTATTTTGCAATACTTCGAAAACAAATGTTGATTTATGGCTCCAAAGGTTAGAATTTGCACTCTGAAATTTGTAGTAACGCACTCATAGTATCTGCTGTATTTTGAATGGGTTTTTGATGTACTAGTGTGTAATTATCATTCACTGGTATTTCTGTTTCCACATAGAGGATTATTTGACTGGTCTTGGCAGTGGGCATTTGGACACCCTTTTTGTGTTCCCGTTCATGTTTTGTCTTCTATACTTGCCCTCCTTTCTCATTAACACTTGTACAAAGTGATGTTTTTCCCAAAATCTTTTGTAGCTTTGGTTTGTCTTCTAGTTCTTTGGGTGTTAATACAAAGGTTGCCATGTGAATGATTTTCCCAAATAATTTGGGAAGTTTGACAGCAAGCTTTTCCTTCTTTGTAAACTTGGGATAGCTTGAACTCACTTCATGTGATAAAGATTAATTTGGGAATTTTGACAGGCAAGCTTTTCATTTTCTATAAATTTGGGACGGCTTGAACTTCTTTTTTTTTTTAGTCCAATCTTCACGTGGCAGAGAAGCAGGTTTCTTTTAGTTGTCCATTTAAGGATTGGGAAATTTCCTTTCTTTCCTTTTTGTCTTGTAGCATCTGTTGGTTTTATTTCAATGCCTTTGGTCAATATTTTTGACCCAATGTTTGATCAAAATGATAGCCACACTTAAGTCCTTCGAATGACGTCTTCTTCCTTTCCTTTACTTGTCTTTATCAAAAGTTGAATTGGGGGACTTCCTTTTGTGGAATTTAGACCAAACATGAGTCGGTCAAGGGAATAAAGGTGCTTTTGGCTTCTTTTCCTTTGCAAACCATCTTTTCCATTTTTTTTTTCTTATCTTTCGAATTCTCGACGCAAAAGACTTTGGGTGGGACTCTTGAACAATTAAGTTTTCTTTTCCCTTTCTCTGGAGTAATCTTTTAAGTTTAGGACCAGCAACTAACCACCTTCTTGGAGCATATTGTTCTACTTTTGCCAACAAGCTCCTGCACTGTTGTTGATTGAATGAAAAATAGGTTGTGAGCGATATTTGAAGTCGAAACTTGTTCTTTTTTTTTATCAAATCCATTGCTTGCCGTGACACTGATTGCTGCTTTCTTTCTTGGCATGGACGTCGAACATGGATCTCTTTAGATTTGATCGGAATTTCACGGGGTGGTTTAGGCCACCCCGAAGAAATTCATGGGATTCTGGGAATTATTTCTGCTGCTGTCAGTGGGGAGTCGGTGAGTTGTTCAGAGTCTCCACCTCCATTTGTTTGGTGAAGGAGAATGCCAAGCAAGGAGACAAAAGCCAAAAAAAAAAAGGCTAAAAGAGAGTTTAGAGAAAAAGAACATCATTTGCCGTGGATCTTGGCTTGTTGTTCCCCCTTTTTTTTATTTTTTTTATTTGTTTCTCTGCGGTGGTCTCTGCTGTGATGTTTTTTTGTTCTTTCTGCAACATAACATCAAACAAGAGAAAAAGAATAATTTTAACAGAACTTGTTTCATACCTGGTGATGAATATTCTTCTTTGGTTCTTGACTCGAAAGCACGAATGGTTGAATTCCTTGTTCACTTTTCTGGCAGCACTTCGTTGCTTTTGGTGTTTCTCTCAAAGTTTCTCTATTTTTCTGCATAGTATCCCCTCTCTGTTTCTGTCTCTGTTGCTGCAGCTGATGCCTATTTATAGGCATCCTGGGAAGGCTCTAGAATTTTTTTATGTGGGGAAGATGGAGGCCATGTTTTCTGCCACTTTCTTTTAACCTCCTCCACGTTCTTTTGTTGCAGAAAAGTGGGGAGCCCCCCTTTTGTAGGAAGAAATGCATATTTTATTTATTTATTTACGGATGTTGGTTTGTCTGTAAAGCCCATCCTTATCTTTTGGGCTGGATTACATTTTATTTTACCTTGTAGTTTGACTCAATTTGTATGAACTCTATTTTTTTATGTTATATATTTTTGTTGTTCAACAGGAACCTTGTCATTGGTGTTGGTGATTGTTTGTTACAAGTTAGAGCATGAAGCTACTATATAATTTCTCATACAAATTGAATAATATAATATCCATCAATGTTTCATGAACCCTTACGGGCAGCCCTTAGTTAGCTTTTAAAAGTTCTAAAAAGATGATTCAAAAAAAAATGATTCGGTCTCACTGTTGTCTTGGCCTTTTCAAGGTTTCGCCCGTTGTATTTAAAAATGCAAATGCTTTCGGTTGGTCATATCTTCAATAGAAGACTGACTTACATCCATTGTGACATTCTAAATTAATAACACACCAAAACGTACATGATCCAAATGCTACAGTAGTCCTTGTCGAGATCAAATTTGATGAAATCGAGCAACAAAGTTTGTAAATAAAGCGCCGTAATTAAGGCAACGAGTGGGGGAGGCCTATTGGCTACTGTGGTTTTGTCACGAACATGCACTTGTGACTTTTGAGAATCGGCTAGCTTTAATAAAAGGTATGAACTGATGATGAGGTTGCTTTAATTTGTCTTTCTTTATGCGTCTGAACGCTTTGAATTTTTGTTCTCCGAAGGTAAAGGTGCTTGAGTTGGGTAATTGTTTTTCATCATCTCTTTGATGATTTTTAAGGATAGTTGTATACGATACTCCGGAACACCATAATATTTTTAATAACTTAATAATTTCATCATCTCAAATGCTCCGTTCTCTTATCTTTGATATATTATCAAGCATTCGCTTCTTTCGCTTCTTTCTCTTCTTGTGTACTTACAGAGTCCATTGTTAGTGCCTAACTATAGTAGATTGAAGAGAAATACTCTAATTATAAGGGCAATTTATCACTTGTTTTTCCCGTAATTAGGTAAATTCTAGTTCACCGAAGCCAATTCGGGAGGTGTGTGTTTTCTATCTCAAGGTCTGCTCGTTCATTTTCGAATGTTTTGGTTTGCTTATATCTTTAATTAAAAAGTGTGTACATTTTGGTACGTTATTGTGACATTTTGGGCTAATAACAAACTAACAAATACATGACCCGGGTGCTATGATGATCCACGGGGTGTAGGTTAGCTGTCTTTGTCAAGATTAAATTTCATTGGATGGTCTGCTGATCAAAGTTGAAACCAGTGGAAGGAGAAAAGAACTGTGTAGGTAGACTTAAATTTGATTTTCCGCATTGAATGTTTGTTCGCGGAAAGTAAGGTGCTTGGGTTGGATAATTTGAGTTCTCTTTCTTATTTTATCATCTTTTGATGATTTTCCTGGAGTATCCGGAGCACTATATAACTTTTGTTACTTTGTGCAAGTCAATTCAACTAGTACAATTGATTTAATCTCTGCGGGCAACTATTCTCTCATTCCTTGCTACCTCTCTCTATCTTTGGTTAGTTTAGTGCCTATATATAAAGGTGGGCACCGTCTAGTTCGGTCCAGTTTTGCTTAAATTTAACATCAAAATCTTACAATTTGTTTTGTTCACCACGGTTCCAGTTCGGTTTATGACAGTTTATAGTTTTAACCAAAATTATATATATGTTAACCACAAATTCAAGCAAGTTTGGGTTCCCTCTACTAGATCTACTACATTTTGGACATGAAGATAGAAAGTGTACATACAAATATAAATCAAAAGATAAAAAGCCTCAAATTAAGACCAACATATACATCCTAAACTAAAACTAAAGTGTACTTAATGCATAATATACTGGTTAATGCTCCAATATTATTTAGAAGAGTACAGAACATGATTTACATACATATACACTTACTACAATTATAAATACTGATTAAATACATACGTACGTTCATAAAACTAATAAACTATATTTATAATTTGGTCGAGTTCGGTTTAGGCTAGTTCCTAGTACTACAAAATCGGGACCAAAACAGGTCTGAGCTAGTTCGGTTCCGTTCTTGACTCGGTTTTGACTTGTTCGACCAACACAATTTTATTTGATTTTTTTTTAATCCGGTCAATTCGGTTTTCCGATTCGAAAATTTGTATGCCCACCCTGCCTAGATAGATAGCAAGAGAGAGAGAGAGAGAGATGGAGTGTATCATGATTCTCTTACTTGGGCCAAGGTGTTAGGATTTTGGCTCGTCAAATATGTCCTAGTTGGTTTAGGATTGTTTTAGGAAACCTAGAGGTATACCGATTCTTGTCCTAGAGGGATTAGGAAAGAATTTCAATTTTCTTATTCAATTTCGGTTTGGATTTGTAGAAGTCTATTTGGATTTGGATAAGTGTAATTTCCTAATCTACTTAGAAATAAGAATTCAATCAACCTTGGGATATGTAAGCCGACCCTATGCTTATAAATAGGTTGCGGCAAGGCTTAAATTTCAAAGAGAAAACAGCCAGAGACAGCCGAGAGTTTTGAGATTAGTTCTAAGGTTTGCAAAAGTTCTGTAATCTCTATTATTAATCAAAGGAGTGGTGATTTCTCTACCTAGAGAAATCACAACTGGACGTAGGCAAAAGTTTTACCAAACCAATATAATTCTTGTGTGTTTCTAAGTTTTCTATATTTGCTAGTTTAGTCTATTGCCATTGGTTACATTAAAGAACAAGGTCCAGTGTGCGGGTTTGTTCAACAATTGGTATCAAGAGCTAGGTTCAAGGTGTTCTACGATGTCTAAAGGGAAGATGAATGCAGATCTAAGACCTGCATTAAAGCCCTTTGAAGGCAAGGATGACTTCATGGACTGGCAAAGAATGATGAAAAACGTACTGATACAATAGGATTTGGATGATGCACTCAATGGTGAGAAGCCGACAAACATGACAGAAGTAGCATGGACTAAGGTTCTCAAGAAGGCCAACAGTTCCATCGAGATCCATCTCACAATATCAATTTGGTCACACATCATCAAAAGCTGATTGCCCAGGAAGCATAGGAAAAGTTGGAGAATGTTTATATGGGCAAAACCATGTCCAATAAACTTTTTTTAAAGGATGAACTATTCGGGCTTCAACTAGAAGAAGGAGGTGATATTGAAGATCACGTATGTAGGTTCCAGAATTGCATAGCTAATCTTCAGAAGGTTGAAGAAACTTACAAAGATGATGATATGACTATCATCTTGCTGAGGTCTCTACATTTGTCTTTCAAGCACTTTCGAACAACTCTAATGTTTGGAAAATAGTCCCTGAAGCTTGAAGATGTAATTCAAGCTCTTCAGTCATATGGTAAACTGGATGATATAACTGAAAGCTCTCAAGGCCTTTATGCCAAAGGCAAGGAAAGGGGGCGGCAAAAGACAAAGGAAGAGAAAACCGGCAACAGAGGTAGGTCAAAATCTAAGAAGAAAAAGGAAAAGAAGGAAGGTTGCCTTGAATGTGGTTTAGCTAATCATTGGAAGAGGAACTACAAGATTTGGAAAGAGAAGAAAGTTAAGATGGAAGGACTCTCAGTTCAGGTATTGCAGTTACCGAGCATGAGAGTAACGGGGATATCTTTTCAGTAACAGTGAGCTCCAATGCTTTCACAAATTGGATTTTGGATACCGGATTCACTTTTCATATGTGTGCAGTAAGAGAATGGTTTGACACTTACAAAGAAGTCAGCAACGGGGAAGTCTTAATGGGGGACAATTTTTCATGTCCTGTAAGAGGAATCGGACTGTTCGAATCAGAATGTTTGATGGGATAATACGAGCAAATGTCAGGTATGTCCCTAGACTAAGAAAGAATTTGATTTACTTGGATACTTTAGATGAGGCCGATTATGGGTACAAGTTTAAAAAAGGAAGACTCAGGGTAACTAAAGGATCGTTAATGGTAATGCGGGGTGACCTACAACCCAATAAGTTGTATAAGTTAATTAGGACCACTATAGTTAGAGGAGTAAGTGTTTCTGTAAATCAGAGTACAAAAGACAAAGCTGAACTATGGCATCATAGGCTCGAGCACATAAGCCAATAGGGGTTGCAAGAACTACACAAGCAAGGCCTGCTGGAAGACGTGTCATCTTACAAACTGGACTTTTGTGAATACTGTGTTCTCGGGAAGCAAAGAAATGTATCATTCGCAAGTAGCAACGCAGATAACCGAAGCAAGGAGCAACTTAGCTATATTCACTAAGATGCTTAGGGCCCTGAAATAACTAAATCAAATGGTGGAGCTAGGAATTTTGTTACTTTCATGGATGTTTTTTCTAGGAAGGTTTGGGTTTATTTCATGCAGCAGAAATTCGAGGTTTTGCAAAGTTCAAGGAATGGAAAACAGAAATCGAGAATCAAACTGGAAGAAAGATCAAGTACCTGAGAAGTGATAATGAAGGTGAATATACAAGTAATGAGTTTACTGATTACTGCAAGCAGGAAGGCATCATAAGGCACTTCACAGTAAAGAAGAATCTCCAACAAAATGGAACTGCTGAGAAGATAAACCGAACTCTCATAGAGAGAGAGAGGAGCATGCGATTTCATGCAAGATTACCTGATAGTTTTTGGGTAGAGGCTATTAATCATGCAAGTTATTTGATTAATAGACCACCATCTACAGTTCTCGATTTTAAGAGTGCAAAAGAGGTATGGTCTAAGAAGCCAGTGGATTATTCCATGCTCAGGGTGTTCAGCTGTAGTGCTTATGCACATATTCCAAGTGATGAAAGGTCCAAGCTCAAGCCAAAGTCTACACATTGTATATTCTTAGGTTTTGAGAAAGGAGTGAAGGGTTTCAAGCTTTGGGATATCAACAACAGGAAAAAGGTTGTCAGCCGAGATGTTGTTTTTTATGAGACAACCATGCCTCTGAATAAAGTCGAGAGCAGTAGGGAGAAGAAAGATAACATTGAAATTGAAGCAATAAAGATTCTGTTAATCAGTTCAGATGAAGAAGAAGCTCAGGTGGAGCAAATCGAGCAAAAGGCCGAATCTGATGGTTTTGAGGAAGAAAAAGAGCATCATCATCGTTCACCAGTTATGAATCAGGTGGAGTAAGAAACAAGGCAAATTAACAAGCCACGTGCATTCCAGAGATGCATAGCACTAGATAAACCTAA